ATATATTTTAATGATGCTTTTATATTCTGAAGAATGATCATGTAAGGACATATCAGTACTGCATCAATGAAACAAATTTATCAACCATGTACTCAACCTCATATTACTATGACAAAAATTTGTATTGAGGAGATTAATGATCAATTTCTTTACAAGCTACTATTGGCTATTCAGTATCTAGTAGAATAACTAACAATTAATGCCATACTTTAATCACAACTTTATATCTAATGGAAATGCTAAGAGATATTTATTACAACAAACTGCTACACACTGATGTAGGAAAAACATCCATTAATTCTATTACTTATAAAATTTATGAAAATGCCAATTAAAAGTCAGTTTAATACGAACAATTAATCTTCAAAAATGGACGGCAATTAAAGTTCAGTTCAGCAAGTGCTTTTCAACAAGTGTGACATACGATCAATTAAAATGTTTTGACAAAAACATAAAATAAACAATTTGAGCTTCAAACTCTGACATTGTAGTTCAATATTTACATGAAACCTATTTTGTTATACTGTATTATTAAAAATATGTTGCTAAAATTTCCACCTGGTGATTTGTATACTAGTTTGACAACAAAAATTCCTCTTATTATATATAGAATCCTCTTGTTATAAAATTACGGGTAATTATTGTTTTAAATACCCTGAAAACAAAAGCATGTTACATCGTGATAATTTTAAATGAAGTAAATTCGTTTTATTTATGTCAACATTGTGTCAAATATGCTGATGCAATGCCTCTAACAACCTCTATTGAATTTTAAATGCCTACTACATAATACTGAACATTGTGCCTAAGAATGGACTTAATATACCCCAAAAGAAAGAACTTAAACTAACATGTGCAGTCATTCAGATCAAACATTATACTGTAAATAATTATTTAGTTACGATTTTAAGGAATTCTGTAGACATTTGTCCTACCCTAACTAAGTTAAAATAAAAAAATAATGTTTACCTATTACTTGTTTTAATCAATTCTAAGATAATAGATGAAAAAAAGTTCAATTTTTGATCGTCTTACAACAAAAATGTTTAGGCTATAATTTTACATACATTAAACAAATCAAATACAGTTTCATTTTCTAAATTAAATACACTAAAATTGTTAAGAGATTGTAAATTGATGTCAGAGATGATGGAGTATTGTGTAACCTACAGCATGGTTTCCCAACCCATGCTCTGCAAAGGAAATTTTAATGCTCCACGACGCATATTGAAACTTTCTTGATTATTATGAGAAATGAAATGTACTGCAAAAATAACATCATAGAAATGACTCAAATAATCAGTGAGAAAGTTTTTGTACCAATCATCCTCTAATTGTAGCTGTATTTGAAATAAATTATCATTTATTTTTACTTATTAATACCTTCAATTGTAACTTTTTTCTCATTTTTTTCTGCATATGCACATAAAAGCCTGT